TATTCTAGTGTGATATATTCAAGGACCAAAAGTAATTGTGAAAGACATCATGATTATTTTGACACCTGCTGGAATAGGAGTCCAGTGATCTGATGTCTAGTTCTCCTTTTAGCTCTCTGATCAGGTCATTTTTTTTTGCCACACTGGGTCTTAGTTTCCTCAATTTTAAGAGTTGGACTCATTGTTTCAAAAAGTCCTCTATTTAAAAATTTAAGGAGAGGCACTTTTTTGTTTTGAAATTAATATTGAACATATAAGTATTCTAAATAGATGTACTTCATATATGCTATTATCAAATATTTATTATTTAAGTTCCAAATTCTCTCCTTCCCTCTGGCCCCCTTTAATATTTTTAAAGCAGTCTACATGAAAAGAGGGAATAGATGTGATTCAATTATTCTGGGATGTTATTAAAATAATGAAAGGGGAGAAAAAAGAGATACACTGGCAGAAGGGGAAGAAGGAGACAAAATGAAAAAAATTATCTCATAAAACACAAATGCAAGCCAAATCTCTTTCAATGGGGGGAAAATTAGAGAGAGTGGGCAGACAATGCTTAAACCTGACTGAAATCAGAATTAATTCAAACATAGAAGAATATATAGATGTAGATTCTTTCTCTCTCTCTCTCTCTCTCTCTCTTTCTGTCTCTCTCTTTTTCTGTCTTTTTGTTGCTCTCCTTCTATGTATATAATAGGAAAGAAAGGAATAAAAGAAAGGGGGTTGATAAAAGGAAGGGTGGATTAAGAAAGGCAGCAGTCAGAAGTAAAATGAAGTTTGGAGGGACAGGATAAAAAAAGAGAAGGATAAAGAGAAAAAAATAGGATGGAGGAAAATAAACAGTAATCAAAACTCTGAATGTGAGTGGTATGAGCTCACTCATAAAATAGAAATGGATTTACAGGATGGAATAGAAATTAGAATTTTACAACATGTTGTTTTTAAGAGATGCACTTGAAAGAGAAAGACATCAAGTTAAAAAAAGGAGAGAGCAAAATCTATTAACTGAAGTAAAAAAGGCAGGAGTAGTAATCATGATCTCTGACAAAGGAAAAACATAAATTGTAACAATAAAAACAGACAGGGAAACCACATGTTGACAAAAGGTAGCATATCAATAAAGTCATATAATTTTTTTATACAATACGGCTAATACGGAAGTATTTTGTATGATTTCACACATATAATTGATACCATATTGCTTGACTTCTCAGTGGTTCATATGGAGAGATGCCAGAAATGGATGAAAATAATACAGAAAGCAAGAGAACATAATGGAAGATGAAATTGTTAATACGGATTAATTCTACATTTAGTTTTAAGGGATCTGATTGTGTTATGAGTTTATGGGGAAGCTGTAATGTTCTATACTTTACTCTTATGTTCCCATTGTGAAAGTTAGTTTATAGTTTGGGTGACAATAGTTTTAAATCAAACATACAAATTTATCAAATCTCTTCTCATTTTCTAGGTGTTATTTCCAATCACAGTCATACAGTTTGGTTAAGATTTGAAAGTCCAACCCAAGAACCTCCTGTCTGATCCAGAAAACCCTCTCAGCTCAATGGCCATTAGTAATCACTCACAGGTGACAGAGTTCATCCTGCAGGGCTTCTCTGAACACCCCAAACTCTGGATTCCATTATTTGGCTGTTTCCTCTCCTTGTATATGGTGGCCCTCACAGGCAATGTCCTGATCATCACAGCCATCACACTCAACTCAAGCCTCCACAGCCCCATGTACTTTTTTTTGCTCAACTTGGCTACAATGGACATTGTCTGTACCTCCTCCATTCTGCCCAAAGTGCTGGAGGGGTTGCTCTCAGAGGAGAACACCATCTCCTATGGGGGCTGCATGGCCCAGCTCTTCTTCCTTACTTGGTCTGCGTCATCAGAACTGCTTCTTTTCACAGTCATGGCTTATGACCGTTATGTGGCCATCTGCCACCCCCTGCATTACAGCACTATGATGAGCAAGACACTCTGCAGTGCGTTGGCAGCTGGCGTGTGGCTCATCTGTGCCTTCAATTCCTCCCTAAATACTGGTCTGATGACACGACTGTCCTTCTGTGGACCCAATGTAATTACTCATTTCTTCTGTGAGATCCCTCCTCTCTTGTTGCTCTCCTGTACTTCTACTTATATTAACAGTGTCATGACTGTCTTAGCAGATGCCTTCTATGGTTTTATAAATTTTCTTCTGACCTTGGTGTCCTATGGGTTCATTATCTCTAGCATCTTGAAAATTCAGACATCAGAGGGAAAGAAGAGAGCATTCTCTACCTGTTCATCCCATCTTATTGTGGTGTCTATGTATTACACAGCTGTTTTCTATGCCTATATAAGTCCTATTTGTAGCTATAATCCAGAGAGGAGTAAACTGGCTGGTGTGCTGTACACTATGCTGGGCCCAACTTTGAATCCTCTGATCTATACCTTAAGGAACAAGGAGGTCAAAATCACCTTTGGGAAGCTTTTCCCATTCTTTAAAAATTAAGTAGTGATTCTCAAGCCTCTTCCTACTGGGTAGAGGTATGGTATAAGCTTATTTCTGCCCGTAGTTGAAAAAATTCAACTTTTGAAAATGATCGGCATTGTCAATATCATTTGATGCTTACCCTGATCTTATATATTTGGAGATACAAGGCTCAGATTTATGGGGTTATTGATATTCTTTTAAGCATCATTTCAATTTCAAATAGTTGCTACCAGCTTCATATAGTTACTTGGGTTATAGCTCTATGACTGAAAAATTTCCCCTTTTCAAGATTAAGTGAAAGAACTAAGTATCCTTTCAGGTTACATTTAGCTTTTGTTCTCATTTATACATCTTCTATCTATCTATTTCTCTCTCTGTCTCTCTGTCTCTGTCTCTGTCTGTCTCTCTCTCTCTGTCTCTCTCCATCTCTGTCTCTCTCTTTTTCTCTCTCTGTCTCTCTGTCACTCTCTCTTATCATCTGTCCAAAAGGAAGGAAGACAAACTTGACAGAGACTTGATTTTACCTTGGAGTCAAAAAACCTAGGTTTATTTCTAATATTTTATGCATACAAACTCTGCAGCTTACAATAAGCCCCCTAATCTATTAGTACTCCAGACAATCCTTTAAAACTAAATTTCAGAGTAAGCCTTGATATGCCTTTATGAAGGTAATTTCCTCCCTGAAAGTTCCCTATACTAATGAAACCATAGTACCAGTTCCAAGTTGTTGACGGGTAGGGATGGCCACTACCATAACTTTATCTAAACTAATTTACATATTCTATGCCATCCCAATTAAATTACCAAGAATTATGTTACTGAATTAGAAAAAAAAAACAACAAAATTTATTTGGAAGAATAAAAAGTCAAGAATATCAAAGAAACTACTGAAAAAAAAGTAAAGGAAGGAGGTTTAACAATACCAGATCTTAAACTATAATGTAAGAGAATAATTATCAAAACTGTCTGGTACTAGCTAAGAAATAGAAAGGTAGATCAATGGAAGAGAATAGATGCACACATTACAACAGGAAATAAATATAGTACCCTTATATTTGACAGGTGTGACAACTGAAGATTTTGGGATTAGAATTCATTATTTAGTAAAAATTGTGGTGAAAATTGGAAAGCAGTATGGCAGAAATTTGATGTAGACCAATATTGTACTTCTGTTACCAAGAAAAGGTCAAAATGGATATGTGACCTAGATATAAAGAGAGATATTACAAGACAATTTGAAGAACATGGAGCATATTATTTATCAGACTTATGGCTAGACAAACAATTTATGAATAAACAAGATATAGAGAGCAGAGTAAGGTGTAAACTGGATAATTTCAATTACATTATAATGTAATAGGAGAGAGTGAAGCTGATGACTTTGCATAGTCTTACCTTATTTAATTCCAATTCACTTGCAAGTGAGGACATCCCCTTCCTGATGTCACTGGTCCTCTTTGAGAACAGAGGACAAACAGTAACAATAATGACGATCATGTGATTAGCAAAAGTCCCCATCTCAGACACATACTGTCTTAGTGGCTTTGGATAAATTCCTTAACCACTCAGAGTTCCAGGTTACAAAGCAGATGCCAACTTGTATCTGCTGCAGAGCTTCATCACTGGGAGCTCCCTAAACCAGTTAAATCATAGGTCTGGTAAAAAAAAAAGTGCATATTTTGGGTTCTGAAGATTCAAAGACAAAAATGAAACGATGTTTGACTTCAAGGTGCTTATTATAATTTACTAGTGAAAAGAACAATTCAAATTCCCCAGTATTTTGATCTCTTTCATGAAGATCAATATCATTCTTTATTGGAGAAAGACAGTGTGCTATGATGGAAAGAGACACTGGGAATGGAGTCTAAGGACTTCAGTTTGAGTTTCCAGCTCTGCTCTGAAACCTTGGGCAAGATATTGAACTTCTCTTGGTTTCAGTGTCTTCATCTGTAAGATAAAAGGTTGAACTGAATGACCTCTAAGTTCATTTCCAGCTCAGTGAATAAAAAGACCTAATCAAAAGGAATCAGATGTCTTCCTGGACTGTTTATCTCAATCTTTAATTGCATGAATCTCAAAATTTATTTCTGACTTAATTCCCTTTTATTATGTGATTCAACACAAAATCATGAAGTTCTATATTTAAAATAATGATGAAATTATTAATTATAAATTATATGTATATTACACTTTATAATTTGCAACATGTATTTTTCATTCATTATCTAATTTGGTTCTCATGACAGTGCTGAATTCTCATTTAACAGGTCAGAAAATTAAGGTTCGGAGGGAGATGATACAGATGATTCCACCATTAGTGACTTGTAGAAGGGGATTTAAGGCAGAAAACATCTGATACCAACCAAGGTCAAATTTTGTTCTCATTGATGACAAAGTTGTAAAGCATAATTAACTACTAATATTCAATTCATCTTTTTCTTCTTTTACTAGGCTATAATTAAGCTGAAAGGTGGGTGGAATCTCTAGGACATAGTCCAAACCACCCATAGTCTCCCACCCAATGGCATGGATGAACCAGACACTGGTCACTGAGTTCTTTGTGAAAGGATTCTCAGAAACTCCTCACCTTCAGCCCTTGTTCTTTGTCTTTTTCCTCTCCCTCTACACAGTGGCCCTCTCAGGGAATATCCTCATCTTTGTTACAATCAGTTTTAATTCCACATTACACACACCTATGTATTTCTTTCTAGTCAACTTAGCTGTGGTTGATATCCTGTGCACCTCCACAATTTTACCAAAGCTGCTTGGAAACATGGTGGGTAGAAAGACCATATCCTATGAAGGTTGCATGGCCCAATTGTATTTCTTCACTTTGTCCTTAGGAGCTGAGCTGCTGCTTTTCACAGCAATGGCTTATGATCATGTGGCCATCTGCCATCCTCTCCACTGTAGCACCATGATGAGCAAGAGGGTCTGTATGCTGTTAGCTGCTGGTGTTTGGTCAATCAGCATTCTCAACACCAGCATTAATAGCAGCCTTATATTTTGATTGTCTTTCTGCCACTCCAATGTAGTCAACCACTTTTTCTGTGAGATCTCCCCTTTATTGAAGCTCTCCTGCAGGCCTACCTACCTGAATGAAACCATGACTTTCACAGCAGATGTATATGTAGAGGTGGGAAATTTCATGATCACTATGCTCTCCTATCAAAATAGATAAGGAAGGATACTGCATCTTGCTAAAAGGCACCATACTGTACCATAGTAATTTCATTTCTAAGTACATATGCACCAAATGGTATAGCATCCACACTCTTAGAGGAGAAGTTCAGGGAGTTCCCAGAAGAAATAGACAACAAAACTATACTAGTGGGGGACCTCAACCTCCCACTCTCTGAACTAGATAAATTTAAACACAAAATAATAAAGAAGTTAGGGAAGTGAATAGAATATTAGAAAAGTTAGGTATGATAGACCTCTGGACAAAATTGAATGGGGATAGAAAGGAATATACTTTTTTTGTCAGAGGTACATGGCACATACACAAAAATTGACCATGTACTAAGACATAAAAAACTCGCAATTCAATGCAGAAACACAGAAATGTTCAATGCATCCTTTTCAGATCATGATGCAATAAAAATTATATGTAATAAAGGACCATGGAAAGACAGACTTAAAAATAATTAGTAACTAAATAATTTAATCCTAAACAATGATTGCATCAAACAACAGATCATAGAAACAATCACTAACTTCATTCAAGAGAATGACAATAATGAAAGAACATACCAAAACTTATGGGATGAAGTGAAAGTAGTTCTTAAGGGAAGTTTTATATTTCTAAATGCTTACACGAATAAAATAGAAAAAGAGGAAATCAATGAATTGGGCATACAACTAAAAAAATTAGAAAAAGAACAAACTAAAAATCCTCAATTAAACACCAAATTAGAAATATTGAAAACCAAAGGAGAAATTAATAAAACTTTTGAACTAATAAAACTAAGAGCAGGTTTTATGAAAAAACCAATAAAATAGATAAACCTATGGGTAATTTAATTTTTAAAAAAAGAAAGAAGAAAATCAAACTTCCAGTATCAAGAATGAAAAGGGTGAATCCACCACCAAGGAAGAGGAAGTTAAAACAATAATTAAGAACTATTTTGCCCAACTATATGCCAATAAATTTGAAAATCTTAGAGAAATGGATAAATACTGACAAAAATATAAATTGATCAGATTAACAGAAGAGGAATTAAAATACTTAAATAACCCCATCTCAGAAAAAGAAATTGAACAAGCCATTGATGAACTCCCTAGGAAAAAATCTCCAGGGCCAGATGTATTTACAAGTGAATGCTATCAAACATTAAAGAACAATTAATTCCAATACTATATAGACTATTTGGGAGAATAGGTGAAGAAGTAGTCTTACCAAATTCTTTGTATGATACAAATATGGTGCTGATACTTAAGCCAAGAAGAGTCAAAACAGAGAAAGAAAATTATAGGCCAATTTCCCTAATGAATATAGATGCAAAAATTTTAAATAAAATATAAGTAAATAAATTACAGCAACTTATCACAAGAATAATACATTATGACCTGGGTAGGATTTATACCAGGAAAGCAAAGCTGGTTCAATATTAGGAAAACTATCAGCATAATTCATCATATAACACCCAAACTAACAGAAACCACATGATCATCTCAATAGATGCAGAAAAAGCTTTTGACAAACTACAACACCCATTTCTATTAATAATACTAGAGAGCATAGGAATAAACAGATTCTTCCTTAAAATAATAAATAGCATCTACCTAACACCGTCAACAAGCATCATATGTAATGAGTACAAGCTGGAAGCATTTCCAATAAGATCAGGGGTGAAACGAGGACATCCATTATCACCAATGTTGTTCACTATGGTACTAGAAACATCAGCTTTAGCAATAAGAGAAGAAAAAGAAATTGAAAATATTAGAATAGACAAAGAAGAAACAAAGCTATCACTCTGTGCAGATGATATAATGGTATACTTAGAGAATCCTAGAGAATCAAGTAAAAAACTATTTGAAATAATAAACAACTTTAGCAAAGTTTCAGGCTATAAAATAAACCCACACAAGTCATTGGCATTTCTATGTATTACCAACAAAGCCCAACAGCAAGAGATAGAAAGAAAAATTCCATTTAAAGTTACTGTAGACATTATAAAATATTTAGAAGTCTACCTACTGAAACAAATCCAGGAACTACATGGACACAATTACAAAACACTTTCCACACAAATAAAGTCAGATCTAAATAACTGCAAAAACATCAGTTGCTCATGGGTAGGCCAAGCTAATATAATAAAAATGACAATTCTACCTAAGATAATTTATTTATTGGGTGCCATACCAATGAAACTACCAAAAAATTGTTTTATAGAGTTAGAGAAAATCATAATAAGATTCATTTGGAAGAAAAAATGGTCCAGAATATCAAGGGAACTAATGAAAAGAAAGGCAGGGGAAGGTAGCTTAGCCATTCCAGATGTTAAATTGTATTATAAAGCAGCAATCATCAAAACTACTTGGTACTGGCTAAGAAATGGAGTGGTGGATCAGTGGAATAGGTAAGTTTGCAAGACACAGTAGTCAATGAATTTAGTAATCTATTTTCTGATAAACCCAAACACCCCAGCTTCTGGGATAAGAAATCACTATTTGATAAGGACTGCTGGGAAAACTGGAAAAGAGAATGGCAGAAACTAGGCATAGACCAAAATCTCACATTATATACCAAAATAAAGTCAAAATGGGTTCGTGATTTAGATATAAAGGCTAATACTATAAACAAACTTGGAGAGCAAGGAATAGCTTACTTATCAGATTTATGGAGAACAGAAGAATTCATGACCAAAGAGGAGATAGAGAACATTACAAAATGCAAAATGGATAACTTTGATTACATTAAATTGAAAAGTTTTTGCACAAACAAAGCCAATGCAACCAAGATAGAAGGGAGGAAGAAAATTGAGAAACAATTTTTACAAGGACCTCATTTCTCAAATATATAGAGAATTAAGTCAAATTTATAAAAATACAAGTCATTCCTCAATTGATAAATGGTCAAAGGATATGAACAGGCAGTTCTCAGATGAAGAAATTAAAGCCATCTATTGTCATATGAAAAAATGTTCTAAATTACTATTGATTAGAGAAATGCAAATCAAAACAACTCTGAGGTACCACATCACATCTATCACATTGGCCAACATGACAAAACAGGAAAATGATAATGTTGGAGAAGATGTGGGAGAAGTGGAACTCTAATACCTTGTTTGTGGAGTTGTGAAATGATCCAATCATTTTGGAGAGCACTCTGGAACTATGCCCAAAGGGCTATAAAAATATGCATACCCTTTGACCCAGCAATAGCACTTCTAGGACTGTATCTCAAAGAGATCATAAAAATGGGAAAAGGACCTACATGTACAAAAATTTTCATAGCAGCTCTTTCTGTGGTGGCAAAGAATTGGAAATTGAGAGGATGCCCATCAATTGGGGAATGGCTGAGCAAGTTGTGGTATACGAATGTAATGGAATCTATTGTGCTATAAGAAATGATGAGCAGGCAGACTTCAGAAAAAGCTGGAAAGACTTGTATGCTCTGATGCTGAATGAAGTGAGCAGAACCAGGAGAATGCTGTACATAGTACGAGCTACGTTTTGCGATGATTAATATTGATAGACTTCACCCCTCTCAGCAATACAGGGATCTAAGACATGTTCAAAGGCCTCATGATGGAAAGTGCTATCCACATCCAAAGAAAGAACTATGAAGTTTGAATGCAGATAATAGCTTACTATTGGCTATATTTTTTTCTTCTGTTGTGTTGTGTTTCCTCTTTTTAGTGGTTCCTCCTATTGGTTCTAATTCTTCCTTACAATATTATTAATGTGAAAATATGTTTAATAGGAATGTATATGTATAGCTTATATCAGATTGCACACTATTTTGGGAAGAGAGGTGGAGAGGAAGGGGGAGAAAAATTTAAAACTCAAAAGCTTATGTGATTGTTGATAAAGCAAAGTAAATTTATAAAAAAGTGGAAAAAAAGAAAAAAAAACATTAGATATATCATTGGCTCCTCAACGTTCTTGGAAACTTGATTTTTACTTGTTAATTGTCATAGAATTACTGACATTTCTTTAATCACTCTCTTTAAGTTTCTGTCTCCTGTGTGGCTTTGGGTAAGTCATTCAAGGTCTTTGTGTCCTCAAATTCCTCATCTATTAGATGAAGAAGTTGAACTAGGTAATCCCTAAGTTCTTTCTACATCTAATTGTCTATGTCATCCCATGGGTGATATAAATGTTTAGAATCAGTGTTTAGAAATCTGCCCACATTCCAGTTGGTGATCTCATTAAGCTGAGTCATAAGGGAGACAGGGCAAAGACTCTCACTTGTGAATAACAAAACCAATAAAAAATAAATAATGACATTGATGATGACTGGCAATGTGACACCCTCTTTTTCCTCCAGTAAAGTCCCATTTCAAATAAGTAGTCAAGAAATGTATGTACCTTGCAGACCCCTACTTTAGTGCCTACAGAGCACTAGTGCTCTTCATTTATTACTCTCATCTCTCAGGTCTTCTTCATGCTGTTTGGGGTAAGGGTCTGCTTCTTCAGGTTAAAGAATAGAATCTTATTCTTAAACAAGAGATTCTCATTTCAAAATATTTCAATCCTGATCATCTCAAGCAGCAGTGATAAGGATGAGGCTGGAGTTTGAACTCACTAAGAATTCTCTGGGACTTGACCCCTTGAGCTTCAGAGTGGGTATATTCACTTTGGGATATATTTGATGTGACCATTAGAGTCCATATCTCTTTTCTTTTGCTAGTGACATGATAGACTCCTATTCCTTGGTAAATGAAGTCACATCCAAAGTCATTACTGGAAGGCTGTTTAATATATGTACTTTGGTTTGTAGTTT